TGCACTTTAAACCAAAAGCCAAGAAAAAGTTATTGCCTGACAAAGTACACACATTCTCTTGCATTTTTTCTTTTTTTCTCTTCCTTTTCCCCTCTATTCCAAAGTTTATTTTCAAACTTTTTTTTCTAATACTAAAGACGTGGTCACATGGAGCAATTTTCTTTTCAACTTGTCTCGTAATGGCGTTGCAATACACGTTGCATGAAACATTGCAGCATGCAACCTACAGCACAATATTCGAAAAATGTGTGAGAAAAGTTTCAGCAATGGTTGAAAGAAGTAGAACTCGTTTCTACTTTTGGCAGCTATTGCGTCTCTGTTGCACCGTGTAAACACTCTTGCAACTTTTGTTGCAACCCTGTTTTGAGACAAGTTGCAGACAATATTGTTCCACGTAATCTCTCTTGAAACTACTATTTAAAATTATAAAATATCTGTTATGAATCTCAAGTTCTGATTGTTTGGAAGCGCATGCTTTATGAGAGAACACAGCACGCACATGCACTAATTTGTATTTTATAAAAGAAATAAAAAACTTGCTTGCTGTGCTGTGTGCAATTATAAGGTACTTGGGGATTGGCAGAACACTCGAGAAGTGTCGAGAAGCACTCTACTACGCGTCATGCTTCTCCTAACACTTCTCTCATGTTATGCCAAACCCTGCGTGCTTCATAACTGCACACAGCACTGAGTAAAGATATTTACCAGTAAATCTATGAGCCATGGAGTCAGACCAGAAAAACCTGCTATTCTCTTTCTCATGTCCTTTAGAAGACGAATTAGGACACGAATGCTGAAGTAAAGAAAACAGATAAGAACCTATGTATAATAAGAGCCTATTACTTACTATATAGTACTATCATTATCTTCTCAATATGATAAAAATATTAATCATTATCATTAATAATAATAATAATAATAATAATAAATCATTATCAGTCCCCAACATCATTTTCATTGAAAGTCATTGCAGTACTGTAGTTATCATAATCATCATCATTCCCATATCTTAAATCATCAACACTTACCACCACCAACATCAGTAACCATCACCATCATTTTCACCAAAAGTCATTGTCGTTGTCATCATCAGTCACCATCATCAATCATCAACCATCACCATCACCATTTTCATCATCAAGTCATTATCATCATCATGAGCATCATCAACACCACCATCTTCATCGCTGGAACCATATCACTATCACCACTTTTAGTTATCAGCATGTTGCGCTTTTCGAGACTGATTTATTCACAATCAAACACACTACAATTTTCTTTTTTTTTCCATGTGCTTTCTTACAACACAGGTAACCCATCTACATAAAATCAATATCAAACCACAGGTAATCCACCTATGTGGATTTGTGCCGCAACAATCATCATCATCATCACTGGAACATTATATCACAATTGCCACTATCAGTCATCATCATCATCATCATCATCATCACTAACATATCATTACCTGGTATGAAAGGCATTCTCTTCAAACCATCTTGCATGTCTTATGGTAGCCAAAGCTCCCTCCAGTAACTTTACATCGACTGTCAATTTAATGACAATAAAAGTAAGAAAACAAAACATTGTGTGTTATCGTAAAGAAAGCCAACTAAAGCAACCAAAGAAAACCTTGGCCTGGTTGTATGAAGCCAGGATAGCGCTATCCAATGGTTACATCAATAGACAAGGGCCCGGTTGTTCGAAGCTAAGCCTGGATAGTGCTATTCAAGGGATAAATCTTATCCAGTGGATAAATTTATGGGATAACAGCATCGACTTATCCACTGGATAAGGATTTATCCACTGGATAGCGCTGTCCAGCTTTCGTACAACCAGGCCCAGGTCTATTGATGTATCCATCGGATAGTGCTATCCAGGCTTTGTACAACCAGGCCCAGGTCTACTGATGTATCCATCGGATAGCGCTATCCAGGCTTTGTACAACCAGGCCCAGGTCTACTGA